GTCTGTCATGGGGCGGGCCTCCCGGGTGTTTGGGGTTAGGCTTTCACGGTGTTTGGGGGTTGGGCGCATTTTCGGGGTGGGCTTCGGGGGTGCTTAGGTGGGGTCACTTTCGTGGTCTTCGGGGGTTGGGCTTCAGGGGTGTCATAGTTTTTTGGGGAGGTGGCCTTCAGGGGTGTTTGGCAGAGGCGGGGGGGAAGGGATAATCTTAGGGGGGTCTTTAGGATACTTTCATGGTGGTGGGTTTTCATATACAGATTAACTAACAAAGACACACACACATTGTCAAACACACACACACACACACACACACACACACACACACACACACACACACAAACACATCACACTCACACTCACACTCACACTCACACTCACACACATAGTCACAAAATCAACATGCATCACTGTCAGCACCATTCACATTTATTTTAATTCACAAAATCAACATGCATCACAAATCACATAGTGCAACTTTGAGCAATCACACAAAGAACTGAAGACGCAAGGACGCGAGATCCTACAATCACAACACTAATTGCACATAAGAACATGACACGGTACATGAAGGGCAAGTAAAAAGCTCAGGGGCAAATTGACTCATAAACTGCGACATGAAGTGTCGCACCAATGAAGTAAACCAACACCACAACTGCCTTGTCAAAAATCCTGCACCGCGAGCTGCAAGCCTAGCAACGTAGCCTCAAAAGTCCGCATAAAAAACTTAAGTACCTGCAAACACATGTAAAAAGAAAGTAAGAACCTACAAGCAAAAGAAACGAAGTGCTTGTAAACATATGTGTCCAATATCTATGCAAAGAGGCTACGCAAACATAAGCATTTGCTAAAAGGACTATCTACCTACAAACATAAGAAGACAACGATGATAATAATAAAATGACAATTACAATGTGTGACCGATTTTAACTCCTCCCCGTGCTCCTCCTCCATACGCCGGCAGCAGTCTTACAGGTGGCCTACGGAGGGTGACCCTGTGTGAATGTTGCAACCCCTCTCCTCTCCTTCTCTCTCATACAGCCCATGCAATAGGCTTCGACTACGTGTCCTCGTCATTGCCCTATGTTGTCAACTGCTCCATCTGGTCACACTCTGCACACAACGCCTCCAATTGCGCCTCCTCTGCCGTGATCTGGGCCTCCAGATCATTAATCGGTCCATAGCGTCTCGACCCTGAACGCATCACCAACCCATCCTCCCCCAACATGTACGACGCTACATGTGGACCACCATGATGACTAGTGCCAAGCACCAGAGATCTCCTCATCTGACCTCTATCCAGTCTGAGGATCTGTATTGCGGTGTGGATGCTAGGTCATCCGCCCTGTGACTCGGTGCCCCCCGCATCCATAGTGGCTCTCCCCCGTATCATGCCCTCTCTCTGAGTCTTTCCTCCCTATCTATGTCGAAGTCCCTTCCCATACGATCGGCCTTGGTCTAACCTGCGATCACAATAGTTGTCCTCTCTGATGACGCGCGGATGTCGAAGAATGGCTGCCACCTCATCCGACTACCAGATACATCGCTGCCCGAACGTCCTGTTGTCAGGCCGTGGGCTGCACGATAGTTGTCCTCTCTGATGCCGCGCGTGGGTCTTTAGCATACTTTTGCAGTGGTGGGTTTTGCGCATACAGACAAACTAACAAAGATGCATACACAATGTCAAACATACACACACACACACACAAAACACACAAACACACACACACACACACACACACACACACACACACACACACACACACACACACACACACACACAC